GCCTAAGGAACTCCAGTATGAAATCGAATTTTGGAAAATGATTGTTTATTATTTGAAAATTAGCTGGAGATCAATAAGGCTGACTTGGGTGGTAAGTTTCAAGTTAACATGATTATTGCCTTGTTACCAAACTCGTTCGACTCTGTTAGAGTGAACTAAATAAGGAATCAGTTTGAGTTCACACTAGCTGATATTCTTATAGAATTGGTAACAGATGAAGGGATAATCAAGAGTATGGGCGTTCCTATCAATCTAACCTAGTCTATACCATCTTCTTCTAGGCCCAAGTGGACGGGCAAAGCAAAGAAGAAGGATGATAATAGGACTAGACTAGCACAAAACATGGGTATTCAAAAAGGTTAAAAGGAATAAGGCAGTGTATGTTGAGGGCGAAGAAAACTGTTTCTTTTGTCGCTAACTAAAACACTAAAGGACGAACTGTTTAAGCAATGACGTGGCATAAGGAAATATATATTTAATCATTGAGCCATGTTATGTGGTTGCGTCTATTAATTCCTGATGGATAGATTCTGGAGCCACTAAACATGTTTGCAATTTATTGTAAGGATTTCAGGAATCCAGAAGCCTTGATGATATGGATATATATTTATCTTTTGACCTGATGCCAAGGTTGTAGTTAAGTCAGTGGGAGTATTACATCTGAAATTAGAGAGTATGAGGATATTAGTATTAGAAAACTATCTTTATACACAGAAGTGAAACGCAATTTCATTCTTATTTCACTTTTGGTTTATAAAAACTGTGTTGTTATTTTGTAAAACTGGTTTTATAAAATTGAATAGATATGCGATTGCTTCTGGTGCATTGAAAGATGGTTAATATACTATAATCACAAACTCTTAAGATTTGCAGGATGTAAAAACTAATGTTGCATCTTCTAGATTGAATGTTAAGAGAAAAATTATTATTCCTGACTCATTGTATTTTTAATGTCTATTTTTGGGTTGTTATCAATCAAAATAAGATTCAAAGATTGGTCAAAGAAGGTTAATTACCTAGTGAGGCAGGGGAGCCTAAACCAAACTTGTGAACCCTGTTTTGAAGGATAGATAACTCTTAGGGCTTAATCAGCCAGATAAAATAGACATAAAGGACAATTGGAGTCGGTACACACTGACACGTGTGGTCTTATGAACATCCAAGCAAGATTACTCATGTTTTGGATAAGTTTATCTGATGCAACACAAGTCTTAAACTCTTGGTATTTTCTGAGAAGGTTAAGACTGATGTGGAACACATATTAGGCAAACTTATCAAGACATTTCGATCTGATCGAGGGTATGAGTATTTCTTGGGATAGTGCAAAGACTATATGGTCAATGAGGGTATTATGTACCAGTTTTCCGCAATTGACGCTAAATGTATTTAGGTGTCAAATAGGAATAACAGAATTCCACTTAACATGGTTAGATCTATGATCAGCTATGCTACATTATCTCTTTCATTTAAGAGTTTAGCGTTAATGACATCGATGCGCATTATGAACTGCATTCCATCTTAGTCTGTCTCAAGGATACCGTTGAGCTGTGTTTTTTTCTAAATATTAGTTTGACTCATATGCACATATAGGGTAGTCTTGCACATGTGCGCTTGATATGGACAAGTAAGTTGGAAACAGATCGTACGCATGATAGATTTGATAGCTACTCTAAAAGTCACGAGAATTGATTATTTTATGATCTCAATGATAAAAGTTGATTGTTTACACTCACTGTTTATCTATAGGAGGATCATATTATGAATTATATACCTAGTAGCATAATGTTAGAGAATATGGTATAAGTACCAGATGTACCAAATGTGAACACACTTATTATAGAAATTGAGAATAATATATGAATTCCCTATTAATGCATTAACATCATCAATTTCTGCATCGGTACATTGATGTAGTGGGAGGATTATCATCCAATTCGACAGAATCATGTTTTTAGGTGAGACCATTATGGACATCCCTGTTAAACATGAGTTGGACCCAGTAAGCTACACGGAAGCGTGAACCGATGTGGATACAGATCGTTTTGGTGAGTTACTATGAAATCAGAGTTGGAATCTATGTATTCTAATAAATTTTGGGATCTTGTAGAACTTTCTAGTAGGGTGATTCCTATGGAAGGCAAGTTAATCTACAAAAAGATACCAGAAGATTTCTTAGTGAATAAATCATGAGTGTACAAGGGAATGCCATTATTTTTCTAATTCTATATATATTGATGACATCCTACTCATTTAGAATGATGTGGAAGTTTTGTCATCAATAAAGAGGTAGTTGTTCAATTACTTTTAAATGAAGGATTTTCAGGATGTAAGCTAGATTCCTAGGATCAAGCTTTTGCAAGATCAGGTTAAAAGGAAAATAGGCTTATCTTTATAATCCTACATTGATAAAGTTTTGACCAGGTTTGGTATGCATAACTCAAAGAATGAGTTATTGCTTTATTGATATGGATGGCTCTCTCTAGTAAGTAGTTTTTCAAGACTATCAAAGGAGATTGAGCAAATGAGACTGGAACAATATGTTTCGGCATATGAGAGTCTCATATATGCCATGGTCTATACCAAACAGGACATCCGCTACATAGTAGGGATAGTCAGTAGAGATCAGTCCAATACTGGACTTGACAACTGGTTTATTGTGAAAAATATCATTAAGTACCTAAGGAGAACCAATGATATCATATTCATTTATGGATGTGATGATATGGTCCTAGTCAGGTATGCTAGTTCTGATTTTCAATCAGAAGTAGATACTATGAGGTTCATGACTTAGTGTATGTTCACTTAATGGAAGGGAGATCAGTTGGTAGATTGTTAAGCAGATTTCAACTGCTGACTCAAACCTGTAGGTGGAATATATTGCAGCCTTAAAGGCGGCAAAGGAAGCCTATTAGTTTGATCTCACTGATTTAGAGGTTGTGGAGTATACTAGCCTGCCTATTGAGCTATGTTGTGACAATAGTGCAGAAGTAATCCAAACCAATGACCCAAGGTTCCATAGAGGAACAAGATACACTGAGAGGAAGTATCATATTCTACATGATATTGTCCGGCAAGAAAATGCACTTGTAGTTAGAACATTGCATTGGAACACAACTTTGTTGATCTATTATCAAAGGTGTCACTGATCAATAATTTTGATCATCATCTGGATAACATTGGAGTTAGGTGCAATTTGAATTGGCTACGAGGGCAAGTGGGAGCTGTTGGGATTTATATGCCCTGGCATAGCAAATTCCTATCTGGATTATAGTGACATATGTTCCTGACATATCTGAAATATTTATGATTTATATAATTGGTGAATTCAATGTATTATGTTTCGATTCACTATGAAATTGATAGTGTTTATGTAATTACAAGAAATATTTATATATATGTATGTGATGGCAATCAATGCATGATATATAAATAGTAATTATAAATTGTTCATAGTCAGTAATTATGGATGGACTCATAATTAATTAAGACTTGAACTGGATCCGCGTTAGGTTGAGATATATTGCGAGAGCCGTCGTATGCAATTACTCCCTATCACCGTCATGGTATTTGACTCTTAAGCATGAGAAAAGTATAGACTCTTTTATTAATTAATAATTACTTTGATTTGTTCGGCGGATTCTTCGGGATCCTTAGACCGACACTTTGGGTAGTTATGTAATTAATAGTTAGAGGGTTATATTTTCAATATTTGCATCATTGCTACTTGTATTTATTTTGTATTGATTATGGTTGATCACAAAGTAAATTCGAAGGCCTTAGTGTGTTTTTAGACAAAATGATTTATTAAATATTTATTTATTTAAATTATTATTTTTGTCAAACAAATATTTTATTGTGATCGAGCCAGAAATAATCAGAGGGACCAAAATAGATATATTAATTAAGTAGTCGGATTGATGGCTTTATTTATCCGATAACTAATTATGCATAGAGGGGTCAAAGTGCAATATTGACTTAGAGGTTATTTATTATTTAATTGGAGTTCAATTAATTTCTTTTAGTGGAGTAGAAATTAATTTATGAATTAATTGAATTGGGTCCATGCACCGGGTCAATTATTAATTCATTGTAGCCAATAAAATAATAGGCCCAATGGATTCTCACTCATAGCCCAACTTGATATTGGAATCATATTAGATTTGAGACATATGAATTAGAGATGGAGAAGGATTTGTTATTTCCTTTTCTTTATTTTTATGTTGCCTATAAATATACATGGTCTATATATATTTTAGGGGGTGATTTTTGGTAGAAGGAAAAAGGAATATATATTTTCTCTCTCTAGAAAATTAGGGTTTATGTTCTCATCTAATGGAGGCTCCCACAAGCCTAGTTTTCCAAGGTCATTCATGGAGGCTTATGAGTGATTCCTAAAGGCAAAACAATTACCAAGAAGATGGAGATCCAAGAAGAATGCATCTTGCTAAGGGATCTACAATAAGTGAGAACATTCACTTTAGAGGAAAGTTTTAAAGGTTTACTCAGACCTTTGATGTAAGTATTCAATCTGTTAATTGAATGATACATCATATTTTTATTTTTGCATAAAACTTGTCTCTACGTAATGAATCAAGATCTATGAATCAAAATCCCTCGAAAAGTTTTTAAAACTAGCACGTTTCCCAACACTGTGGTATGCTACAGATTAGATTTCCACTTAGATCCAAGTTCTGCAACAGGGATAGGCTTCCAAAATCCTTTGGAATAGAATCATCTGATAGGTTGCAGCCAGCAAGACTCAACCTTGATAATGAGCGTGGTAAAGCACACATTGAAAAGCTGATTGATTCTGGACTTCTTCTTGGTCCCAATAGCCAATCCCTCAAGTGTGAAGGCCATGATCTTACCCCACTAGTCATGGAGGGTGATTGATTTGTGCGAACTCTGTCTGCAAGGAGTATTTTCAAACACTCCATCTTGCCCAGCTCTTCTGGTAACTTCTCGAGCTTTAAACAATGAGATAGAATGAGTACTTCAAGTCATTTTAGCCCGCCAATTTTCGATGGAAGCTTCCGAAGATTTTTGCAACCTTTTAGATTCAACAGAACTAGTCTCCCTAAATCCCCAATTGATCCATGTATCTCAATCAAATTTATGTAATTTTTAAGAATCAACCTTTCAAGATTGGGGGCTTGTGAGAAGTCAGGCGTATTGGTAAGACTACGGGAATGACTGAGATTGAGGATTTTCAGCGATCTAAGCAACTGTTTAAAAAAGAAGAAAACATTAGAATAACACACTTGACAACCCAAGCATTTTATCAATGCACCACGCAACGGCAAATTTGGAAATTCATTTAGATGAATATTTATATTAATCACCAATCAAAATAGAAGGAGGAAAAAAGTTAGTTTGAGACCTTGTTTCCATTCCAAACATGTTTCAAGCTACTATTGTGCATGTCAAGGGCAACAAGACTCTCCAGGTGAAAGCTACTGGGTATAGATTCTAAAGGGAACCCACGCCAACCCAACCATCTTAACTTCCTAGGCAATTCTTCATAGCCTCCTGTGCGCCTTGTATTATTGAGCTCGAGTAGTCTTAATCTGTGCATCATTGAAAATGCATCAGTTTGCAAATCTACTTCATCTGATGTGGAATGCGATCTTGTTGAGGCGGAAATTATGGGGAGCCAAGATAAGAACCCTAGACGACGCCGCTTCAATGAATTGTTCTCCAATAATAATGCTGATTTGTCAAGAAAATCTTCCGAATAGTGTCTTTTTCCATTATCTAAACCAAAGAATTCCTCAGTGGACCTATCTTCCTCAGACACATTCAAGTTAAGGATGAGGCCTTCAATGGAATCTGTTCCCTGGTAAGACACTTGAAAAGTAAGCATACCAACTAAAAAGTGTACAAGTAGACATCATGAGAAGCATATTTCTTACAGTTTTTTCATTTAATACACTAAAGGCATTCTTGTGATGCCATAATCTGCTGCGTTTCCCAGGTTCCTTGGGTGATTCTTGGTGTATGATTTCTCTCCCCATTTCCCAAAGCAACTGATGCATTGCCAGCTTCTTGTTGTCATCGATAGTTATGAGACATCTATCGATGAGATTGTGTATCCCAGCTTTTGTGTAGAAATCACACTCATCTAGTGTTGTAATTGTGAAATCTTTATCCTTTCTAACAAAGAAACAAGCAATGTCAAGAAATAAATTTATGTCATGATCATCTTGTAGAGAATCAAAGCTTATTTTAAGTTTCTTTAGGATCTGAGTGTTAGGAATAGCTGCCAATTTCTTTAATGTACTTTCCCACACATCTACAGGTCTACCAGACAGAGAAGAACCCAACGTTTGAAGAGCTAAAGGAAGCCCTCCGCAGTACTTTACGACCATTTTTGACTTCTCAGAGTAAGCTTCAATTGGATTATCTGGTCCAAAGGCATGCCAACAGAAGAGTTGAAACGATTCATCATCGTTTAATTCCTTAACTTTGTAAATCTTATCAAGTTCATGTGCCTTCAGCAATTGCTCATGTTTGGTTGTTATGATAATTTTACTTCCTAGACAAAACCAATCTCGCATAATGAGTATTGCATTTAATTGGTTCAATTGATCCACATCATCAAAAACAACCAGAACTCTTTTACAGCATATAGCATCTCTAATCTTAATGATTCCTTCATCAACACTACTAATTTTTACTTTTCTTCCCTTTACAATATCTGAAAGAAGTCGTTTTTGTAAGCGAACCAATCCATTGGGTTGTTCTGATATTTCTCTAATATCTGCAATGAAGCTGCTACCTTCAAATTTGTCGAAGTTAAGGTTATACGCAGTTTTGGCGATGGTTGTCTTCCCGATTCCCCCCATACCACAGATTGCAGCTATGCCAACATCCTTCGATTCATATTGTATCCACGAATTAATGTCTTTTACACGAGAATCGATTCCAATTGGGGATGGACCAACACTCAAGATCGTGCGATTCAATTTTTTCCCAATCTCTTTAACAATTTTATGAATAAAACTTGACTCTTGCCTACAAAGTGCAACGGAAATGGGAAAGGTACATTTAAAACGTCAACTGTTAAAATTAAACAGCAAATGATGCTTATGAAAATAAAATACAACAAATTACATGGTGTTCAATTTTGGCCATTATGTTGACTCGTATACAAGCATACACACTAGACAGAATAACACACTATACTATGTTAAAGATATAACAAAAAGAGAATAATAGAAAATATAAGAACATTCACAAAATTCAGATTCCAAGTCATATAAACAAGTTCACGAAAAGGGATTCATGTTGTTCACAATTTTAATGATATTTCCATTCTTTAGGCTTCATCCACTTATTTCCAAAAATTTTGTAAGTACTGACTATTCTTTCGGAGTGTTGTTATGTGATTTTAGACACCTTAAAGTTGATTTACTTTAACCTTCAGTTGTAAATAAAAATGATTAAACATCATGTTCGTTTTAGTCCTTTCATGTTCGCTGCATCTTTTCTATTTCCTCCTTTTTTCAAGCATTTTGAATTGATATCTTCTAATCATCAAATCTCTATATAAGTGGCACATTTGATAAACTCAGATTCTTAGTAAAATTTAAACATCCAGTATTTGGAAACCACTATACCACAAATTCTGAAATAGGACAGTAATAAAACATCGCATTGGTATATCATGGAATTCTAATTCTACGCCTACTTGATCTCTGGATAACATGTCTTTTGCATCTACTTGAAGTCTTGGACTATTCTATCAATTTTTGAGTGGGGTCAAACTTTCATATTTTATCAATACTTTGGCTAAAAGTATGTAGGTAAAAATAAAAAATAAAAAATAATAATAATAATAATTTGATAAATAATATACAGATAGTATTAATAGTGTTTCAATACATTTCAACTAGTTTAAAGCATTAACATTAAGAAATAATGTACTTATCAAAAAAAACCATTAAGAAATAATGTGGAGAGTAGATAACATTAGCATCTAATGGCATGAATAATTTGAAAGTATAAATCAACATTATTAACACTTTTAAGGAAATGACCCATCTCGTAAAACCATCCCTGCCAAATCTGCAACTTCTTTCAGAGCTGCTTTCCACCTCTTTATCTTGTCCAACCCTGCCTCTTTTCTTTCTTCTATCTCTGCCTTAAATCGCTCTTCGTGTATAGCAAATGCCTCTGCAAAACTCCCTGTCTGGTTTCTTACATGGGATGGATCCACATGGTAGAAGACCGGTAGAATTATATAACCACCAGTCTTCTTGTGCTCAAGGATATTCAAAAGCTCATCAAGACACCATCTTGAAGATGCATAGTCTTTTGAGAAGACTATTATTGAAATCCTCGACACTTGGATTGCCTTATTTAGTTCTACAGCAATATTCTGTCCTCTCTCCAATCCATCATCATCCCTAAATGTGCGAATTCCTGCATGTAGTAGAGCTATATAAAGGTGATCAGCAAAGGTATTCCGGATGTCATCACCTCTGAAACTCAAGAACACGTGATAAGAATATCGACTTGAGGAGGCTTCTTAGGCTCCCATAGCAGCCATTGAACAACGCTCTAAGAGATCAATGGACAAGGGATATATGTTATCTGTACAGGCACAACCAGTATTTGTATACGGTATCAATAAAAAAAATAAACCAGCAATATTATGTACTCAAATAAGCGAAGTCAATTAAATCCCATATGCGAACCAAAGTTCATAAGCAAAATGTTAAAGGACATGCTTTAATGAATTATACATCAAGCAAGGATTAAATGGAATACACGCAACCAAAAATCCAGACACAAAATGCTTCAAAGTTGCTTCACAAAGGTTTTAGAACAACTCAGCTCAACAAAATTTCATCTCAATTATTTGCCATATGCTACATGTAAAATATTTCACCACCTGCTCTTTCTAGAGTTAATTATAACTTTAATGAAACTACTCACTCTTATAACTTCCTTACTACATGAACTCGTGTTAGTTTTGTCTTCTTTTTTCTATCATTGTCATTGACGAAAAAGAAATTATTCCTCACAAGCACAACTGTAGGTTTTTGCTGCACATTACCAAAACCATGTTAGTAGACTCTCTAATTTATCTTCGCATACACATTTTAATAGTGTTATGTTGTGTTTGTGAAGCTTTGAACTAAACTTCTGACAATTCCAATATGCCGATTTGGTACTCCCAAATATAGCTTTAAAATTTTTCCATTCATTTTTTTAGACTCAGTTGATTGCACAATACACCATAAGCACTCTTCAACTTAACCAACACCATCTTCTATCTTCCCACCAATTAAAGGATTGAGCTCAAGTAAAACAAATACTTCTTTTGTTATTTCTTGACCTTCGATCTTTTGTATATCTCTATATATATTTTCAGTTTTACTAAATTAAAATATTCAAATTTAATCATACTTACTTACATTCCATACCAATTTTAAATTTATGCATACTTGAACTGATAGAGAAAGACAGAAATACCAGACCCAGTGGCTAGTTTTAATCAGGCTACAGATCTATATGCAGTTTCAGCTTTTTTTCATGGATGCATGAACTTATTAACAACAAAACAAGCAGAAATAGAACATACAAAATACAAATTGATTAATGATCCATGTAATAAACTTGGAATATTGAGCAAAGGGTGTTCAATTGTAAAGGGTTACCTGTAATAAGCAAAATCCCCCAAGAACAGGAAGATTGAATCTGTTATGCTCGATGATGAAGAGAGAGGAGGAGGGAAGCAAAAGGGTAGAGAGACGATGATAAAGGGGTAGCAAAGGAAAGGAATAGGGAGAAATAGAGAAGGGAACGTGGTCAAATGATAAAAGGGGCGGAAAGAACCATTGGTGGATCCACAGAGGAAGCTTCCCAGCAAGTGTGTGAAACCAAACATTCAAGCTTGTTAATATGCTAATCCCTGTGGGACACTTCTTGACCGAGTTTATTAGGTTGGTCTTATCGCATTATGAGCAGTGGTTGAAAATTGTATAATCTAAATTTTGTATTAAATTTTTCATTATTTATGACACTGTCAAATGTTGTATGGATAAATTATTTAATGTTACCAATTTATTTATTTATTTAATTTTTTACTCTAGACTAGTGAGAGTTATTTGTTTATTCATGGTAAATCACAAATTCATTTACTGGCTTATTATTTCTTTTTTCTTTATTTTGTTTAAACTTAAGTGTTAGTTTTATGTTGAATTTGTTTATTCATGATTTATATATATATATGGACCATTAATTTTTTATTTTTTATTTTTTACCCTGGTAAGACCATTAAATTAAGAAGGGTATTGTGATGTAATACCGGCTAGGATTTTTTTATGCATTAAGTGGGGGTGTGGATTTTAGGTAACCAAGATGTCCATCAACTGAAGTGTAAGGACCTATTACCCTTATATTTTTATAAAATAATAAAAAAATATATTTTAATAGATAAAAAAACCCTCTTTCCTTCTCTCTCTCTCTCTCTCTCTCCACCAAACTCTTACTGCCACCATTTCATGTACCAAGGAAATAACTTATATAAGAGGAAAAATCAAAAGTGAGAATTACTCCCGTTAAAAAGAGTTGGGAAATTACAAATGTGTCTTAGCACAACAAATCCCTGTACAAGAACATTTTGCACATACTATGAAGGGGTAAGTACAAAAAACATTTTTATAGTAATTTTATCCCTATTTAAAAATGTGAGCAAATAACACTCTTATTTTTTTTTAATTTGTACAAAAATACCTCTCAATTAATATAATACACAGTTTACTCTTTTACTCTTCCAAAAATACCCCAACCAAATCTTACTTCTTATTACCCGGCAGCCACCGCCACCACCGCTGCTTTCCTCTTCCATCACATATTATATATTACACTTCTGTAACGGCCCAAATTCGAGGGTCCGAATCGCTAACCGGGTCCTTACCCGAACCCGAGGTCAACTAAAGACGTTACCTTCCTTTTCTCTGTCAATACATAATACACGTGTCATCCCAGGGTTTATAAATAATAATAATAATAATAATAAAATGAGATCATAGCTACAAAATATGTCAAAATAGTCCACTAACCCATTAAAACCTATGAGGGAACGTCGTCCGTCACTTTCTTCCTTTGACCTAAAAAATATTAAAATAATGGGGTGAGCATAAAGCTCGTAGAAAGTATCTAAAACGCACCTCTTATGACCTCATGAATCCACATAAGGAATAGAGTAGAAGTAAATGGGATCATTCCTCGAGGAAAACAAGTAAAGTAATGATAATAATCAACAAATACATACGCAAGTCGTATAACCACCAAATATACAATGTATGCCAATGTAATGCCATGCCATGCAATGTCGCTCCCCACTTCCGAAACAATACCGTTTCAACTTCCAAACCGTTAGTGCGATCTGACCCAATGCACCTCTAAAGCATCACGAAGGGAGGGTTGGCTAACTTTCCCCGACCACATGGCACCTCCATGACATCGTCTAGCCTAGGTAGCTCAACCACACTAAAGTCTTTCTCTAACTCTCCTTTAGACTACACTAACACCACGGACCACTAGGCGCCTCCTAGGCGTCCGGTTTTTTTCATAAACACTTTTGAAAACATTTCCCCAAAACAATTTCATTGGTTTTTTTAAAAAAATACATTTTTTCCTTTTTCCTTCCTAATGGATGCATGAATGCTTCATGCTTTACAAATTACCATAATTTTTATATCATCAAACCACAACAACATTTCATACTAAAGAAGAATTTTCTCATGAATTTATAGCATGCTTTAAGTCAATAAAATTTCGACAATTACACATATTAAACAATGACATAATCACAAAGGCATGCTTTCTATATCCAATCAACAAATCATACACACATATATTATTTACACATAACACACATAGAGATACACATCATATATATAGCATCATGGCAATTTCTCAAGAAAAATTTACAATCTAGCATGTTATACTTCAATTATAAGGAATTAATTCATAAAAAATCTATGAAATTGCAAATTAGAATATCCCTACCTTAATTAGAAGAGTATACACAAATTTTGTAGTCTGCAAATAAAGAACAAAATAAGGGCAAAAATAATATTTTATTAATTTATAAACTTGGAGTACAATCCTCTATAGTAATATTCTTTACATAGAATAAGGTCCTCTGATTCGATCTCCTTTGTTAGTTGGATTCAAGGGCTGCACGAGCTTGATCTTGAATCACCGTGGGATTTGGATGAAGAATGACACGATTTGATGTGTTTGTTGTTGATCACCGTGAAATTTGGTGAAGAATGGCACGATTTGATGTGCTTGGTGTACTTCACTTTTGGCCAGAGTTTCTGTATTTCTCTCTAGAATTCTGGATTTCTAAATTCTGAATTTGTGTCTGAATTTCTTGACCTTCTGGATTTCTGAATATGTGTCTGAATTTCTGGACATTCTAGATTTCTGAATTTGTGTGTCCTAGATTTCTGAGTCTCTGGATTTCTGGACTTCTGAATTCTGAATTTGTGTCATCTCGTTCTTCTTCTTCCAGGCCTTTATTTATAGGCTTCTTGGATTAATAGGATGATGACACGTGCCATCTCCTGATAAGAAAAAAATCATAACTGGGTCGAGCCGATTATATTATGATAATTATACTTAAAAATAATTATTTCAAATATATTTTATTTGGAATAATTATCTTTCCATTTAATTATCTGGGCTGGGCTAATTAAACAATTTAACTAGACCAAGTTTGGCTAATTAAATAACTTAATTAAACATTAGGCTCATATTTAATGGGTCCATTTGTCAAAACCAAAGCCCACTAAAATTTTAGTGTCTACAAATTGTCCCCACTTCGAGTTCCAAGTTTAACAGGACTTGTCTCCTTTTTCAAGTGGGACTTGAAGTATCTAAATTTTTTTTTTTTTTTTTTTTTCATTTTCCTATCCAACTTTAGATTGTAAGATTTCCTCTTCTGCTTTTCTATCCAACTTTGGATTGAAATTTTACTTTTCTATCTGAACTGAATTATACAAATCCTAATACAAATAAGAGGTATTTTGTTACCTATATATACCCCAAATATTTTAAGGTTTGACATAAATTTCAATAGTCTCTGAAGACTTGTCAGATTACAACCTTTGAAGACTGTGTTGGATCGCGGCCTTTACTTGAACACAAATAATTGATATGACTTTTTTTCTTTTTTCTTTCTTTCTTTCTTCTTCTTCTTCCTTTTTTTTCTTTTTCTTTTTTTTTTTTTGTTTTTTCCTTTTCCTTTTCACGTTTTTTTTTTCTCCTTTTTTTTTTTTTTTTTTCTCTCTCTCTTTCACGCAACTTTTTTTTCCTTCCTTTTTTTTTTTTTTTTTTTTAACGCACTTTTCTTTCCTGTTTTTTTTCACTCATTTTTTTTTTTGTCTCTTTCTCTCTTTTTCATGCAACTTTTTTTTTTCTTCCTTTTTTTTTTTTTTTACTTTCCTTTTTTTTTTTCTTTTTTTTTTTGTACTCATTTTTTTTTCCTTTTTTTTTCTCTCTCTCTCTTTTTTCCTCTCTCTCTCTCTCTTTTTTTTCCTTTTTTTTCTTCACGCACTTTTTTTTTTTTTTTCAAGTACTAACCATTTCTTTTTTTAGTATTGCTAGTCAACCATAGTATTTTTCAAGAGTTTCAAACCATATACTATCACCGTTTTGAAGCGAGAACAGACTTTGAGAGGTCATGCCACCAGCACAGACAGTGTCGTCAGCAGCCACGTATCAACTCAGAAAGTAACGAGATATGTAAACGCAGGGAGGTTTTACCAATAGCTCAGACAACGTTATCAACACCCGTTGCCAAAACATCTTCATCAGCCATGGATCATCCAGTAGCCATTGATAGAGCAAAAATAAACTTCGAGAGGTCATGCCACCAGCACAAGCAGTGTCGTCAGTAGCCACAAATCAGCCCAGAGAGCAACGACAGATATAGATGGAGAGGTTTTACTACTAGCTTAAACAACGTTGTTAACACCCGTCGCTAGAGCATGTTTATCAGCCATAGATCATTCAGTAGCCATTGATAGAGCGAGACCAGACTCCGAGAGGTCATACCACCAACATAGGCAGTGTCGTCAGCAACCATGAATCAATCCAGAGAGCAACGACAGATGCAGTTTTCATTAGCCATAGATCAGACAACAACTATTCAGAGAGTAAGAACAAACTCCAAGAGGTCATACCACCATCATTGTTAGCCATCGTCATAGCGTCTTCATCAACCATGGATCATCCAACAACCATTGATAGAGTGAGACCATACTCCGAGAGGTCATGCGACCAGCACAGACAATGTCATTAGTAGCCATGAATCAATCCAGAAAGCAACGACAGATGCAGTCTTCATTAGCCACAGATCAGACATCAACCATTCAGAAAGTAAGAACAAACTCCAAAAGGTCATACCACCAGCATTATTAGCCATCGCCAGAGCGTCTTTATCAGCCATGGATCATCCAACAACCATTGATAGAGCAAGAACAAACTCCGGAAGGTCATACGACCAGCACAAACAGTGTCATCAGCAACCATGAATCAATCCGGAGAGCAACGACTGATGTAGATGCAATCTATTAGCCTTCATTAGCCACATATCAGACAACAACCATTTAGAGAGTAAGAACAGACTCCAAGGGTCATATCACCAACATCATTAGCCATTATCAGTTTTGATGATGATTTCAAGCTGAAGCTCCACCAAAATATCTGACTCAATGTACAAGTTTACTTATCCACCAGACACCAGTAGCAACTTGACATGAAGTTACCGAGTTGTGTGCTTGTGCATATCTGTCTCGAAGATAGAGCTCTACCTTTTTTGATTTAGGAAAGCCTTATATAGTTCAAGCTTGAGTTTGACATG